GATCAGTTTACTCAACCTCTCATTTGTGTGTGTGTGTGTGGGTGTGTGTGTGTGTGTGTGTGTGTGTAGGTGTGTGTTTGTGTGTGAGACAGATGGAGAAAAAAAAATGTAAGCTATAAATGAAAGGAGCAGTCAACTTCTACACATACGAAGGTTTCATTAAACTGGATCACACTAAACCATTTTAACCCCAAATATAAATGTATGTAAATATGTAGATATAAATGTGACTCTGTTACAGACTACATTACAATTTTAAGGCAGGTTTTTGAGTCTGTGTTCATCCAGGAAAAATGACAAAAAAAGTCAGTTTGCAGATGAAATCACAACTCATATCCACACAATCAGATGCATTAGATTGTAGATACATTTGTGACATCCAAGAAAATAAGGTATTTATCTTTATAAAGTTTGCTTTTTCTTGAAAAAGTAGCACATCAAATATTGACACTGGGGATGCAACTCAACAATCAACTATCTTTTAGTCACCAGCCCAAAAAGCTTTCCATCTGATAGGTTGTTTTCATTCAGGCCTCGTGGATTCTACTATCAGGAGCACTAGGAGGAGCCAGAGGAACCTGATTCTTTCACAGTTTATCTGTCTCCTGTACTACTGTCAGGATGTAGTGAAAGTTCCAGCAAATATGACAAAAAAGTTATTTTCATAAAAATTACCTACTGCAGCTTTAAATCAGTAACTGTCAAAGTCATCATGAACTAATCATCTAATATTAAGGCTTTGAAAAGAACATCTTTGGCTAATACTGCCCCAGTAGAAAATATGAAACTCAATATAAACAAACTAACACAAAGACTAACAGTATAAGAACAACGTTGTCAAGTTCAGTCAAGTCAGGGTGATGAAAAAATAAACCATGACTACACCTGAGGCTGGGTTGGACCACAGGGTTCCAGTCGCCACCCCCCCACCTAAGTCAGATGAGTCGTAATTCCAAACCCAGGGTGTGTCTGGGTGGGGCCTGATGACTGTGGCCGCTCGCCATGTCAGACACACCTTGATAAGCAGGAAGGTATGAGGAGGGCATGTCTGCAGCTCGCTCTACCCTTTTGTTGACTTTTCAGGCCTTGTTTCTGTCTATCACACACACACACACACCTACAGGCACACAGAAAATATTTTATGTAACACGATTAACAGTCTAAAACACCATCAGGTGGTTGCTAAAAATAAAAAACAAAAAAACTGAAAAGTGACAAAAAAAGAACCTACTGTTGATTTAGTTATTCTATGAGCATTACTAGTAGTGTAACCAAACATCTAAAGTTTATTGTAAGGGTGACATTAAAATCTAAAGTGCTCATCCTCCGAGGAGCAGGGATGAGATTAGCTCATTTCAAGTGGCACTGTGGCACGTTATATTTTGATATTTCTAATTTGCTTTTGTCATCAAGATGGAGCTAGGGTAAAGGCGAGGTCACCAAAGGTATTAGGAACATGAATATTCACAGCAGACTTTATGGAAATCTTGCTGTGGACAAGTATTGGCCATACACTGGGCACTGCAGGTCAACAAGGATTTATGACCCCTGACCTTTTATCAGTTTAAAAGTCTCAGCTAAAATGAATGTCATGGTTGATTGGTTGGATTTGCATGTCTAATGAATATAGACAGACAATATAAAGAAACGTGAACTATGGACATTAAAAATAACAAAAGATTAAATATTACATTACTTGAGTTGAAGCATCATGCACTAGATATTTCCCAACTCGATATGAGATTATTTTGTTGAAAACTACTTAGAGCTCAAATATTTACTTTACGGGCAAAACATCCCTGTCATATTACAGCCTGAAAATGTTGTTCAGGCTAATATGTTAGCAAGCAGCTGCCTATTTCCACATCCAGCAAACACAAAGCAACAACATCATTGTCTCCACCTGATGAATGCACAACCTCTGAGAAAAAGTCTCTGGTTCATTGCTGCTAGATCTTCCACTATAATACTTGCTGTAAAATCAAAACTATGAGCTAAAAGAGGCTAAAACGCTCAGTAGATCTGCAGAGTTTGTGAGAGTTC